TAAGTAAGTTTATAGTTAATATTGTTCATCGCCCCAAACGAAATAGGGTGAATAAATCTCATAACTGATTTACTGGTAGTCTCTAAACTAATTATATACGAAAATAATATTTTACAGACTATAAGTACGTTTTCAAGGTCATATATATATACATATATATACATGAGATGTATTCACGCTCTTTCATTAAGGTGAAATGCCAGTTGGATTTTCCCAAAATGATGAGAAGACCTCGCGCTTCTATTGAATTTAACATAGCTCTCCCTCCGCAGTGTATAAATTGCAGTTTCGACCCCACCTAGGTTTAATAAGTAGCTCTCGAGGGACTCAATCCGTGATAGTAGTGTGTAATTTCGACACGTTAATGACCACATTACTCTGCGATGCGATGTGAATTGCAATGCAGGCCAGTTATTGTCACATATTCGAGATCGAGGTTAGATTATATATATATATATACATGCATGAGATGTGATAGTGAACAGGTAGCTGAATTTTCACACAAGTAGACTTTGTGCTTCCATTGAACTTCACAACATTACTTCTCATTCAGCTTTGACTTGACCACGCCGTCACACAAAGGCAGTCGTGGAAATGTGGTATAGTATTTAACGTATCAAGTTTATCCTTTTCGCTATCACGGTTCGAGTCCCGCTGGGGATGCTGAAACCTAGGCGGGGTCAAAACTGCACTCTATCCTGGACAAGAATAAAGCTGTGAAATTCAAAGAAACCTAAGGCATACACATACTAATGTAGAAGAATTCAACTAGTCCTTCATCACCCTAAAAGATCTGTGACTGTATATTTGAATGAATAAGTCCTAGAGTGTACCGGCCAATGATATCACTAAATACTTTACGAGTTTAGTCCGTCAGGTGACGGACATTGCTAGAGCAAGATAACATGCATTACGACAATTCACAAAGAACAAATACAACAAAAGTAGCCATCTTCGTCAAAATAGGGGATTGGATCCTATTGCAAGTCCTCGCGTTAAATATTGGAGAAGTAATAGACATCGAAAGTTGAGGCTTTACTTACCCATATATATATATAAAAACTAAGATCCTTGGATCTGACCTCGTTTTCGCAACCTGGCACATTCGTAATACAACAGTACAACTTTGGGAAGTATGTTGATATAGGAGTGAATTTTGGAAAAAGTCGTCCAACCAGTTCTTCCTGACAGCACGACGAAGTTGCCAAATAACAGTTAGAACAATTATCTATCTAATAAAACTATGAATTTTCGTATTCGTATCAAATAAACAGTCTGCAACAAACTATTTTGACGCAAAAATTGTGATCATCCTATAGATTAAGTTTGCGTAGTATACAACAGTCACAGATCGGAGCCAGGGCTGATCTGCTGTCGTAAACAAATGGAAATAAGTAATTTCTGATACGTTTGTGAAGTGGGATTTCTTTCATGATCTATTCGTGTAGTTCAAGCAGTTAGGCGAAACTTGATCCAAATGGAAAAGATATTCCAAATAAGTATAGGGTAAATCAGAGTACACATATTGCCCATATGAATGATAATTCATAACGCATTTCGCGCAGTAAATTAAGCCAATTTGCCTATTCGAAACAGCAATAAGTCATCTGACGAAATTGTCCCTTACTTGCATACGGACATGCATATGTCCCCTCAGTGTTTATTATTGTGCGTCCCCATCATATGATATTTAGCATTAAAGTTGCGAAAACGAAGTTAACCCACCTCTTTACTTAGCCTTGTTAATTACATAATCTCTAAATATTTCCCAAATTGGACAAAAGTGCCTACACGTCTCCGTGAATAAGAATGCCACTTAATACAGATAGTACAGTACCCAAGAATTACGGTTCATTACAAAATTTGAAGTTCGACTAATGCATGAACGTTAAACAAAAATAAAAATATCTTATTTGTCTTCATCTAGGAGATGAAAGAAAATTGAGAGAAATGCAGAAATGCATACACAAGCATAAAGGCAAAGAGTGATACTGAAATTATAAGGAAAAACGAGGAGCTGTAAAAGTTTTCGAATCCTTAAATAAATATAGTGACAGCCAACAGTGATCAGACTACTGATTCAACTGTTCCTGATGGTGTCGATGATGAAGGAATAGCAGTGACAAGAGAAACTCTTGCCTGCTTAACAGGAAAGATAACAGGCAATGTAGGAACCTCGTAGTCAAAAGCCTCATCATCAACTACATTCGTTTCTTTCATTGCATTTTCAGATGTCTCGGAAAGCAGATTTGCCCTTGCTGGTAGAATATTGTCTGTGAATACAGGCTTGTCCCCAAATTCGCCTGAGGATAACTCTTGAGATTTTGTGACGGTTAAATAATCCGTCTTATTAATTTGATTAGTATTTCCTTGAACTTCCTCATCCTCATCTTCAACCCCACCGTCATCCAGTCCAGTATCTATCTCACCGTCTACTTCAATATCACTTTCTTCGCCACCTTCAAAACTCTGGTCAACAATAATGCTCCGATTCAGATTTGTTCTAGCCACCGAGTTCGGCCTATAATCTGAGTGGTCAATCTGGGCTGGTCCAAGCAAAACAGTATTGTCTGCGTCATCAAGTCCTGAAGTAGTGGTATTTAAAGCTTTTTGAACAAGAGCATTCTCATAGTTTTGTTGAGATATCAATCGACTTGGAACAACTGCATGAGAAGTAGGAGGCTCCAGAACAGAAGTAGAGGATGGACGTTTCTGAGCCTTGCGATAAGCCGTCTGTTCACGATAAGCTGATGGGGAATAGGATCAAAATCAAATAATGAGAGTAAGTGTAAAAATAAATTAGCATTTTTCATTTATGGTTGTATAAGAAGATATAAGGAAGAGGAATAGTGGTCATTGCACCAGCAAGTCTCATGATACCAGAAATATTTTGGTGATTTTTCCCTATGCAATAAAGGCGACATTTGAATAGTGTCATAGCTCCAAACAAGCTTGCTTGCCTGGTCAAATTCTCACCGAGATGAGGGTCACAATGCATCGAACCTGAACGTTTCACATTTACGCCAGGCAGTGCCTTGTGATTATAAAACCAAAAGCCTCTCAGGATAAAGGAGACAAACCGCCCCATGTCCGCACTTCGTCAGAGCCAAAACAGTCTGCTGGAATTGCGAGCAGAAGAGTAGCGCTCATCCAAAAACCTCCAATCAACTAATCTACAAATCAGGGTCAACAGGGCTCTATTTGATTAGAGCCAACAAGGAGTATTTTCCATGGACCAAACGTAAAACTTAAGCTTAACATTGCGTGTTTATTAAATATTTTGTCATAGCGCCTGTTCAATATATTGACAGCATGCAGAAGATGGCATCGGTTTCTCTTTTTTCACATTTTTCTCTCGTAATAATCTGACGCGCGAATCAAACAAGTGTCAAAAATAAGAATAATTTTAAATCCATAAAAATAGCTTTATACAACTAAATCTGAAGATCATATCTATGAAGGCCAAGATGGTGTGGCCTTCTATTTGGTCGCAGTCTAATTTAGCATTATAGAGTTGGCCGAACCATGTTTTCGTAACATGATCGGACCTTGTGGAACGTAATCTAAACATTTAACATTTATTTTCTCATCATACGTTACACAAGTAGACCTACTTATAAATAAAAATTTTTTTGGCAGATTCCAGGTTTGACTAAACACTGGAATCGCATTTTCCTGACTCCCCTTTGTTCATAATTATCTACTTTTTGATGATGCCTGTTACTAAATAGATGTGCTAGGTCCAAGAGTATTGTTTTTGATGTCTTCACTGAATCGTCAAGTCTGCCCAGACAGTACGAAATGTTTTCTCTGAATCCTTTTTATTCTATTCTCTTCTTCATCCGGTTTATTCGCACAATCCTAAAGGAAAGGACAACCCTTCTCACCATTATTCCCACCCAACATGGAGAACGCAACAAAATAGTCCTTGCATAAATTGCAAGGACGGTAAACAAAAATACACAGGAGACAAGAAAGGCAGTCAATACAATGATAATAGAACACCTGCGACTATGTAGAAAAATGGACACGGAAAGACTGGAGATAGCTAAACACATCATCCTTACCATCCACACAATTGACTGGATTGCAAAAAAAAGATTCGCCATAAAACGGAAAATCAGGGAGGTTGAGGACATCCTGTTTCAGAGAATCTTGAACAGAGATTAGAAAAGTTTAAAGTCGGCGATAATTCTGTGTACTGCCTGACCATACTTGGAGACTCAGCGAAGACATCAAAAAGAATACCCACAACTACTATACAATAAAAGGAAGA